CTCTCACTCATTTCTTGTTCTGGTGTCCAGAACCAGTACAAGGGTTTTGTGTCCACCCTCAGATCTATATTCCCACAAACCAACTCACTTTACTACATTTCAATTTTTATAAAGTAGTATTTATATAAAATACACATTTTATTGTAATCTAATTATGTACAGTAATGTATCATATGTAATATAGGTGAACAATTCCACTACAAAAATTTTAAATAAATACAATGTATATAAATATAAATTGGATATATGTCATAATAGATCTTTCCATCTTAAACAAATTAGCAATATTTTGCAGCAATTTTTCTCAGTTTCTTTCATTCTCAGTAACTCATCATGTCTTAGTGGTCTTATTGCCTTGCTTGGGGTGAAATGATTACAAAAATAAATAAAAAATATGACAGGTTGCTGAAGTTTGAACAGTGGGTAAGGCCAAGAACATTTTAACATCCCCATATCTATATGACTAGCTTAAAAGCTGCACTCTGTATGGACTTTTAAGCTAGTTAGGTCCAAAACTAAAAGGTCCCCTGGTCCAAATTAGAAAACAGCAATGATCATTTTGAAGAAATAAATTTTAATTCCTCAATTCACTCCATGGAACTTCAAAATGTCACTTTAACTGATTTGGACTGTAAGTTCAATTCCAGCCAAAAGACTGATTCGAACTGAAAGTCTGTTTTGGGCCAAAATTTCAATTCATGCTGAAAACCGAGTTCTTCAAATCATAAACTACATGGAACTTCAAAAACTGATGTCACAAAACCTTTAACTATCTCTGATTCCTTGGCATTTTGAAGAAATAAAATTGATTTCCTCAATTCACAAAGTTTTGGGGATATTTTAAACAAAGAATTTTTAATTTACAAAGTTTTTGCGTTACTTTAAACTCAATATAAGTTAAAAACTTATATAATCACTAATTTTTTTCAGTTATTTTAAAATTTGAGTTAACTGTTCCCTCTTCATGCAGATACAAATTCCAATTCTGGATGTTCAAGCATCAGACAAAGGTCAGATTTTCAATCCTAGGATCATCCTGATCCCAAAAAAGTATGTCTATGTAGAGCAAATTTCAGACACACAGACAGACAGAATTTGCTGTTTATTTATTTAGATAAAGATGATAGCTTTCAAAACAGCAGTAATTAACAAAAAAGTGCAACATAAAAATAAAACAGATATAAACCTGATAAATTTTTATAGAATTCAATAAAGAACTGTCAAAATAGCAACTTGTTAATGATTGACAATGAGACTCCCAAAAGAAATATCCTCTATAAGATGATTGCTATGTCCCTTCAGCATTTAGGTGATTGTGGCTCTCTACAATTTTCTATCCTTTGTAGCTCTTGGTAATATTTGTCTTTTCACCATCCCCCAACCATCCATGTTCTGCCATTCATTTACACAAGCTTGTTAGTTAAGTTACTGTTTGTTGTGGCCTGTTTAGGGGCCAGAAAGAAAGACATGGAAGACGAAGGTTGGCTGAAAAAAGTATATTGAAGATATATATACAAAACAATAGTGTTAGTAATAAGTAGATTAGCACTGCGTCTACTACTCCACTCCACTTCACACTCTGTGCTCCCGTCCAACTCTCGCAGTTTGTATTTATGAGAGAAGGAAGAGTTCATTATACTGTAAGAGGGTTTACCACAACACCCCCCCTCCTAAAATCTTAACTCCGCAGGAGTCTGAAGAAATAATTTTTTTTTTTTTTTTTACATGCATCTGTAAAAAAGAAAGTTTACCAACTTTTTAGTGGTTTTCCTCCGCCTCCACTTGTTTTACATTATTGAAAAAAAAAGTGTTTCCTTTTTACATCTGGCTTGGAATTTGGCTGTCTTGCTTTGCCAAGTTCAACATAGAAAAAATTGCGCACTTTTGTTTGTGGTCTCAATATCTTTTACGTTTAGGATTAACCACCATCAAATCAGTTGCTTTTCTTTTTCTCTTGGAATGGCACCTTTCTGGAGCCACTAGAGGGGTCTGAATATCAAAGGTGTCATAAATGACATCCATCACAGTCTCCTCAGGGATCCCATTATCATTCTCATCCATTAGGCGCTTCCTGAGCTGATTGATATGCCTTTTATGAATAAATTTCAGACCCTTAATCATATATATCATGTTACCAACTCTTTTCTCTATGGTACCCATCTCCCAAAAAGATTTGTTATCTTTATAAGTTTTGAAATAAACTTTTTCTCCCGAGATGTATCGTTTTGTAGGTACAATCTTAGCTCTTTCTGGCTTCATCTGTTTTGGTAATAGTTTGTCAAAAACAGATCGTATCCAACGTGCAAACATCACCTCGGCAAGAGATTGTGAAGCTGGTGTTTTTTCATTAGACGTAATCCTGTAGACTTGAAGGAACTGTTGAAGGGCTTTTTCAGTCAGTGTAGCCCTAGCTTTTTTCAGAGCTCTCTTCAAGGTATCTACAAATCTCTCCACCTGTCCGTTTGACCTAGGATGATACGGAGCGGTGGTAATGTGATTGACTTGACACTCACAGTTTGTATTTATGAGAGAAGGAAGAGTTCATTATACTGTAAGAGGGTTTACCACAACACTGTTTTCCTCTGGATCTCTTGTTTTCATTATATCCTGTGAGTGTCAAATTTTCCAAGCCCTCTTTCTTCATCATGTGCCCCCAAAATTTCAACTCTTTCTGATTCTTGGTATAAGTGTCCTTTTTGTTTCCATTGTCCTTAAAACTTCTTCATTGCTTACATGCTCTGAGGATGGTATTCTCAGTATCCTTCTGTAGAACCACATCTCCATTACTTCATGTCTCCTCTTCATGTGTGAGAAAATTATTTATTGCTATAAAGAAGGACTGATATTACATAGCAGTTCAGTTCTCTTTTCTTTGTTCCTAAGGAAATTTTCTTGCTTCTTAATACTTTGCATAAGTTTTGGAAGAACTACGAAGAATGCCAAAAATGACATTTTTGCAGTGGGGTACTGGGTGTTACAGAATATGAGAAAAACTACTATCGAGAGAGAGAGAGAGAGAGAGAGAGAGAGAGAGAGAGAGAGAGAGAGCAATAAAAGACAGAGAATTAAGAAGACAATGGATAATGAATGACATTGCATTTGAACTTTTGAAGATCAAAGCTGACTGGGAAGTCAGAAGAGTTCCACAAGTGAGAAATGCAAGAGAAGAAACTATTAGCATAGAACTTATGGTTACTTCTAGCCATTCCAACTGTAAAATGATGAGACTTTGCTGCCAATCTAGTACTATGCTTAAATTCATAAAGTCTATATACCATACCGGAATTTATGTTAGAACAATTACCATGAAAGTATTTATAGAAAAAGCACAGAGAAGCTACATTACTGAGATGGAAAAGTGACTGAAGCCGAGATGCCAGGTCAGGACCAATATCATTGAAGATTCTTCTTTGGATTTTATCAAGAATTAAAAATGTATAACAGGAACACCAGACCAGATGGAGTAACAATATTTAAAGCAAGGATTAATGGTAGACTTATAAATATGTAATATAGATTCTGGTAAGAAAAATGGTCTAGCAAGAAGACACAGTGAACCAACTTTCCTTTCCTAACAGCAGACTTAACAACTGATTCAAAATAATCTTTCACTTCATGCCAATGTAAAATATTAGCCCAAGACAGTGCAACAAGTCACTCTTCTGGAGGATAGCATCAGCCATGCTGATGGAATACAGAAAGGGATCTCTCATGAGAGCAATTTCATTTTGGAGATTTTAAAATTAACAAGCCACTCCTTGATCAAGTTAACAGAGTGTAGGTCATTTTTGAGATGAGCTGCCAAATTGACCTTATTGATCTGATCAGACTTACTATTAAGACAAGTGGTTGAAATTCATAAAATTTTTTTCTTAAAATATTTTTTCAGGAAATTAATCTTATCAAGTCCACTGTAATCACACATTTTCTTTTGGGTGGCATGGAAAGTCAACATCTTGATTATATCATTATTGTCTCCTTGAGTTACAAGTGTGTCTCACTTTCAATTCAAGTGTTTTAACAGAGGACAGAAGTGTAACACTGAATGAAAAATGCCTTCCAAAAACTAAGCAAAGTATTAAGAAACAGGAAAATTTCATTAGGATTCTATAGAAGGATTCAGAGAATACCAAGGCCTGAACATGTGAGTTTTTTTTTTATAGAAAATGGAAACAAAAAGGACACTTAAACATCATGAGATATTTTAAATTTCTAGCACACATAATGAAGAAAGAGTGCTTGGAAAATTTGAAGGCAAGAAGGACAAAGGAAAACAGTGTATAACCAACCTATTGAGCTTGTGTAAATGGATGGCAGAACAGGGTTTAGGAGGACAGGAAAATGTGGAGACTCATGATCCCCAACGTCCTGAAGGGAGACAGTACATAGAAGTTGCAGGCACCACCAAGTTTTATTGTTTTTGCTGGAAGTTTTCAATTGATGTGGTTTTGTTATTTGTTAAAGCTCTTTGTGAATTTTTAGTGCCATTCTATAAGGTTGGATAGAGATTTGTTTTAAGATTTATAGGATTTGTCTTGAAGCCATTTTTAATCAGTGATATAAGAAAATAATTTTATTTAGATAGTTTTGACATTTCCAAATGAGTTGAATGCTATGTATGCCATGTATATGAAAGTCAAGATCTGATGAGGCTATTTAAGAAACATGACAGTTTTCAGGAACAATCAATTTTCAAGAGTTGTTTAGACAATTAAACTCAATGTATTGTTTATGTTAGTCCCATAACATTTTGGCCTATTCATTCTACATATTTCTTCAAGTATATAATCTCTTTCTATAAAGAAGGCAAAAGAATGGCTTGGCCAAAAAACCATGAGAACAATACCAGGAGCACAAAGAGTAAGTTGTCTGAACAATTCTTTGGATGATAATGACTTTTCTCAAAATGATTAACAATATCTTTACAACAGTCATTTGTTTAAAACAAATTGTGTGTCAGATTCAAAGAAGTAAAAAGCTAAAAAAAAGGTTTGTCTTACCCTGGACTATACTATTAATGCCAAGCCTTTCTGTACATTCTATACAAAGGTCCTTGCCAAGAGGAGCAGCCCCTGACAAAATTTGCCGTAAACATAGATTATAATCTTCAACCATGGGATGCTTTGTTAGGAACAAAATAAGAGGTGGAACAAGATGAGCCATTTGTATCTAAAATGAAAATTTAAAAAAAATCGATTAAAATGAAATGATTACAATAAACTGATAAATAATATTATTAATATTATATTCTTAATAAATTTATAATCTAAGTGAAATCAAAAATTGTAAGAATAGAATTATTATTTACACATATGTATCTCTTCTCAATTATTCAGAGTCAGAACCCAATCCTTATTTCTTGATTCAAAATCAGACATTAAATCCTCTTTCCCACTTCAGAGCTGGACTACTCTCCAAGCCTCTTTCTTCCTTCAGAATTGGACAGCCCTCCAACCCTCTTTCCTGTTCATACATCAAATGTTCTTTCCAGAAAGAGACCTGGAACCCTCCCCACCTCCACCACTTCAGAGCCGGACAGCCATCCAACTCTTTTTCTGCTTCATATATCAAACCCTCTTTCCCCCCTTCTCAACCAAACAGACCTCAATTTGTGAATGTTGTTGATTCACTGGTGGATTTTCATAACTGAGACAGACTAAATATCATACTATAGAAATTTCAAATCAAAAGTCATCCTTGAGTGGGGTACTGAAAAATTCTTAGCCTAACCCATTTCTCAAAATCAGTATTTCAATAATCAAAAGAATAATTTTGGAGCAAGGATTTTGGACAAATAACTTTTCAGCACCCCTTGTATGTATCAGACTGCAGTGTTCATAATGCATTCTGGTAGCAGAGACTATGCTTATGCATTTCACATGGATAGAATTTCCTTGTTGGAACCGCACTAATATTTTTTGTGGTTTTAAGAGTAAATATATCACTAAAACTGGCAAATGTACAGAGCAAAAATATTCAATTGTCCTAAGAATAGGATATATAGGACACAAAGTAAGTGAGAAAAATGCAAAAAGATGTTGAGAGAACAAACAAAGGACATAGAAGATAGTAAGAAGACACATAAAGGACACAAAGCCATTCAGATAACACACAAAGACATTGAGAAGACACAAAGATGGTAAGAGAATGCACAAAGACATTGAGAAGACACATGAAGGACACAAATATACTAAGAGAATGCACAAAGGACACAAAGCCATTGAGAGCATGCACAAAGATAGTGAGAGAACAATCAAAAGACACATAGCATTTGAGAGAATACACGAAGCCATTCAGAGAATCCATAAAGACATTGAGAAAATGCACAAAGGACACAAAAGATAGTAAGAGAATGCACAAAGGACACAAAAGATAGTGAACACACTAACGACACAAAAGGCAGTGAACACACAAAGGACTCAAACGATAGAAAACACACTAACGACACAAAAGGCAGTGAATATACTAACGATACAAAAGGCAGTGAATATACTAACGACACAAAAGGCAGTGAACACACAAACGACACAAATGATAGTGAACACACAAACGACACAAATGATAGAGAACACACAAACGACACAAATGATAGTGAACACACAAAAACACACAACAAATGATACACAAAAATGACACAAATAGTGAACACAAGGACACTGTAAGTGATCTGGGTTTGCAAAGGAAATATTTGTCGCAGATTATTTCCACATCACAGAGAATAAATCACTAAGTTCAGACTCGAACATCAGGGACAGAAAGAAAATGCCACAAACTCAATTCACAAATTGATCTTTCATTATGGCCTGAGCTCGGTCCAACAGTTGGTTTGTATTCATCCTGGAAGATGCATGCAGTAGTTGCTTGACGTGCGCTGGTAACCCTGCTATGAATCCACATGCTACTCCTTGCTCCGATATCCCACCAAATAGACCAGCTAGCTTCTCCAAGTCAGCTAGAAACACATCGACAGACTCATCCAGGCACAATCGGTGTTCTGCGAATTGCTCGTAAGCAAAGAAACAATCCAGTGCAAAGGCTTGTTTTATCTGCTCGACATCTGATTTTTGTTCTGAATTTAACTGCTGGTAAACAGCTAATGCTCCACCTGTCAAACTCAAAGGAAGAACACGTTCAACCTTTTTAATTCCACACAGGTTACAAACAAGTTCTGCCTTCTCAATCCATTCAGTAACTGCTTGTCCAGTCACTGAACCATCAAACTCTGGTATCAACTTGACGTCAAATGTCTTGTTCATCATAGTGCCGAAATAGCTTGTAAGCGATCTTGGCGGAAATAGCTTGTAAGCAATCTGGGATTGCAACTGAGGAAATGGTTGCGGCTACCATTTCATCAGGCAGAGCTGATGAACATCCAAATGTTAAACGTCAGGAGAGTAGGCAATGTTATCGATGCTTTGGGTGGAATCACCTTGCCAGGCAATGCCCGGTTTGACGAGAAGATACAAACGACACACGAGGAATACGACATCACCACCACGGTCCGACAAAACGATAGAGAACAACAATGTGTTTCCAGTGTCAAGAAGTAAGCCACATTGCTTCATTGTGTCCAGGGAAAAGATCTGGGGGGACAAGACGTCAGTGACGGTCTCTTCCATAAGCTGGGGTCCAATAGTTATGAATGAAGCGCTAACCCCGTCTTTGGGTATTTACATCGACAGACTCATGAACGGAATTAAGAGAGTGGCACTGGTGATTTGTGATTTAGTACTCAAAGGAAGAATCGAGTTTTTTCGGCATTTTCTTTCTGTCCCCGATGTTTCAACTTCTGACGTCAAATGTCTGAACTTAGTGATTTATTCTCTGACGTGAGGAAATAATCTGTGACAAACATTCAGGAGAGTAGGCAATGTTATTTTGGTCCTTTGCAATCCCAGATCGCTTACAGACACAAACAATAGTGAACACACAAAGGACACAAAAATATCAAGAGAATGCACAAAGGACACAAAAGATAGTAAAAAAAGATACAAAGACAGTAAGGCACTAAGAAAAAAATAAGCCTCAATCTATTTTTTTTTTCAATATAAATGAATGCCTACTTTTTTGTTTTGAAGTGTTGAAAGGAATCCCTCAGGTTCAAATTTTGGCAAAGTAACAATGTGGGCACCATATAATGTATTGTAAAAAAGGACTACTACCATTCCATAAATATGATAGAATGGAAGAATCCCCAGCAACCTTTCTTTTTCATCAATTGGAAAAATACTGGAATGAAAAAAAAAACAATTAAATCAATAAAATAATCACTAACAGTGTTATTAAAAATGTTTGGAAAGACAATGAAATGGTATGGATATCCATTGAGGTGGTATCAATACCATCTGAAAATATTTTTTAACAAACCAGTAGCAAATGAAAGGAAATAAACAACAGATTGAAATTTTATGAAATATTTATTCCAGAAAATAAAATAAAGATAAGAGAAATTTGGCTTATTTAGTATGTGTAGTGATTGCCCACTGAGTCCAAGTACATACTGCCTAGCCCAGTGATTGAACTCAGTTATGTCAAATTCAAGAAATAATGCTTCAATCCACTAGGCTATTGACCCTGGAAACAGAACGAGTAATAACTGAGCAACACTAAATAAGAACTAGACAAGATATCTTTGGACATGTGCAGTGTAATGAGAACAATCTACACCTGTAGATTTAATAAAGGGTTCACTTTGTAATTCCATGTAGGTTACCTGGTTCGAGTACACAATGGCCAAAACATTAATAACAAAAAAAGATGAGGACAATAATCTGCATGTAAATAATGATTACTCTTCATTCATAAGCTCTCATTATTATTATTATTATTAGGTGTGTGCAAATGTTCACAGCATATTTAATTAAAATTTAGTTTTCTACTCTATTAGAATTTAAGTAAGTAATGGCTACCTACTTGACTGCAATGTCTAGACAAAAAAAATGTTCGTGGGTTACTCCCGACTTGGCTTCACCAAAATGCTATTTGGGAAGGGGAGGTGGCTGTTAAACAGTTATAAAAATAGGACACTTCCTGTCTTCTCTTTTTTTTCTCCTAGTATACAGTACAAGTGACAATACCAACCAGGACCTTGTGACCAAGCATGGGTCTATCTTTCCCCTCAGTGACTGAACTATTTCTCTCTCTCACACTCCCTCACACACACGCCCATGTGCATATCACCAATATAGTTGTTAACTTTTAATGTTTTCTTTCTTTTACATGCATACTGTTGTATTTTCTCTTTGTTTCTCAGTTATATAAAATATTACCTTGTTGAAATTTATTCCATATTTTTTTTTCAATCCAATTTTTTCACCCCAAGCAAGGCAATAAAGCCACAGTGGTTACTGAGTGTGAGAGAATATATGAAAAAGTTAGCATTATTAAGGAGTGAAAACAATAAAAGAAAAAAAAATTAAGATGGATGATAACAAATGACAGGACATTTAAATTTTTGAGAAGCTGGAAGAGAGTTCCACAAGATGTGTGAGAGAAGAAATTGTTAGCACAGAACTTATGCATTTCAACTATAAAATGATAAGACCTTGCCGCCAATGTATCACAACAACATGAAAATATTTATAGAATTTGCCCATACATTGAATATTGCTGTTAAATCTGGTCTGGTGCTTCTACTATGGATTTCAAGATCCTTGATAAAATCCAAAGAAGAATTTGCAATGTTAGTGTTATTTTCTACTTTCTTAATTCCTGTTCCTTTATTGTTCTAATAATTTTTTCATTTTCTCATTCTCTCACACTCAGTAACCTCTTGTGTCTTAGTGGTTTCATTGCCTTGCTTTGAGTGAAAACAAAAAAGCACAGGGAAGCTACATTATGGTGGTGGGAAAAGTGACTGAAGCCAAGATGCCAAGTCAGGACCAACAACATTGCAGATTCTTCATTGTATTTTATTAAAAATCTCTAAATATAAAGGAAAAGCGCCAAACCAGATGTGATAGTAATATTCATTGCATAGACAAATGGTAGACTTATGAAGGTGCCTTAGTGTGTTGGATATTTCTATAATTAATGTAAGGTTTCTACGAGAATAGTTTACACATGAATTGTGGTAAAAAGGGACATGCACAAAATAACAGACTGATTTGCAATGCAAGATAACATTTATTAAACCAAATAAAAGAAAGTTTAAGTGTTTCTTTTTGTAGAAGTAAATTGTATACACAATGAAAATTGTTAATAAATACATTTAAGTGTGACTTGCCTGTGTAGATGTGTTTGTGTGTGAAGTGTCCACAGCCCATTTTGCTTCAGTGCAAAAAGTCAATAGCACACACTTTGAAAGGAGGAAAACAGGAAGAGAAAGTTACTTAAGAGCTTGCTTGTTTTTACATCCTCAGAGCTGCTGCTGATACTCTGTTTATTAAGGACTGCTGCTGATACTCTGTTTATTAAGGGCTGCTGCTGATACTCTGTTTATTAAGGAACTACAGTGTAAAATAGATACCATTTTTTTTTTTTTTTACACCTGTCATTTACAGGTGTAAATTTTGTTTGTCACTAATTCAAATAGGAGCAGGGACACAACAAGTTCAATAAAATAGTATTTGGAAACAAAAATAATAAAAAATGAACTTACTTCAGTTGTATAATATTGGATATAATATTATGATGGGTTAACATCACTCCTTTGGGCATCCCAGTTGTCCCACTTGAATAAGGTAACACCATTGTATCCTCTTTACTGTTGCAAGGAGCTAATTCTGTAAAGGCACTTCCATCGTCCTCCATAAGTGAAGACAGTGGACGGCAACCATGATGATTCCCAAGTACAAATATATCCTACATAAAAAATGGTATACGAGACAGATTGAAACAAAGAAAAATTACCTGTAACCTATTTTCATGCCTAATGCCAACTTGTATATAATGAAACCGACTAGATTTTCTTATGGAAAACACAAAAATAAATTTGTATAATTTCCCTGTATGATGAAATTATCAGTTTGAGGGAGGTATTATATTATTATTAAGGCAATTTTAGAAGCCATTGAAAACCCAGGATATGAAAACATACCATCTGTAACAAAAACTGAGTGATCACATTAGAAACTGAAGTTCTGACTAAATACAACATGACAGGTACTGAAGCCATCCTCATGAAAATCCAACTTAGGTGAGCATGACATCTTTCTCATATGAGCAATAACAGACATCCAAAACAAACTTTGGCCAGCTTCTAACAAGCAGGTTAGTTAGAAGGCCACTCTTGTATTTCAAAGACAATCTTAATTACAATCTGAAGAAATTCAGCGTCCTTTTTTCTCCTTGGGAAAATAAAGCATCAGAACAAAGGACATGGCACCTGTTCTGCTCATCTATACAAAGATTTCAGCGAAGCTGATTTGAGTATCACAATCAACTGCGTGCAAATAACAAAGCAAATTGGCAACATGATGTTCCTTTCAATGATAGCCTTACCTGCCATTGTGGCTTTGTTGCATGCAGTAAACAGGCCCTGTTGTCCACTCACATAAAATATGTGGCACTTGATCCTCAACCATGAGCTCCATCTGTCTAAAAGTTTGCCAAACACCTACAGGCATTGGGAGACATAAGCATATCCATATTGAGCACCTCGTTACTTTGCATTTGTCATCCATGATGAGAGAGCCAATTATTTTTTATGGTTATAATTTATTACATTGGAATTGTAATCATGATCCAATTCATCAGACTTTATATATATATATATATATATATATATATATATATATGAAGAAATATAGTCTTGCTATATTTATGGGATAAAGTGCTCAATATCAGAGATAGAGCGTGTGTAAATATAAAAGTGAACATAGAAGTCAACACTTAGAGGCGACAGTGTTTCATGCTATATGCAATCATCAAACATTTAGCATGAAACAGACTGTCACTTGTGGGGTTTGACTTCAATATCCACTTATATTTACATACACTATCCCTAATAATGAGCACTTTAACCCAAAATATAGTAAAACTTAGCATGTCTGCTTATTTTGATTATTTGAGTTATGCTTTAGTGTTCATTAAAACATGAATAGTTAACTATTATGGAATTTTTCTTTTATGTTTGAATGTTATGGTTGAGTGTGCATTAAAACAAGAAAAGTGTCAGCTATAACATTTAAGAGCAAAAAAAATATTCAGTAATGGTTAGCTACACATGGCTTTTGCCTTACCAAGGTTAGAAGTAGATGTAGAACGTTAGTGACAGATTCTCCTCCATGCTTTAGTATCTCAGTCTACACACCATCTAACCCAGGTGACCGTCAACTATTCAGTTTTTTCTTTTATTTTTTTTCTTTACAGCAGTTTCTATCTCACCAAGTGATGGAGAAGCAGCCACTTCTTCCTTAACAGGTCTGTTAGGAATGCTATTGAGAATATCCTCATCCACTGTAGAAAAACGATTCAACAGCTCATCAAAAAGTTTGCACCATTTTTTTCAATATACCATCATGGTCACAATTAAGGGTATTCCCATCTTTTGCTCAAAGTGGGTTCACTGGAGAGGACAGTGGGCCATATAAGAGCTTTGATTCAATGTCTGCAGCAACATGTATTTATTCAGCTTTATCATCCCATATTGATTGCTTTCTACAGCTTAACCCTTTGAAGGCTATTTAAAGCCAGAAAATACTTTTAGAGTGTAAGAAATCTTTTTTATGAGAATTTGATAAACAAATAAATTATAATGTGGATATAAAGTGGGTGATCAATTCTATATTACAGTCAATATATAAAATGATCCCTCACTTTGTGGCTACAGTAGTTTCTATGCCTTTATAGTCCAGAGAATGTAAATAAATCTAAAAAGGCATGTTTGTGTAGCTAATCAATATTTGATTGAATTGTTTTCTACTCCTTATCAACCTTTTGCAGGTTATTTAAAGCCAGAAAATATTTTTAGATTGTAAGAATTTGAGGTGTCGAGAAAATTTGCAGGCATATGAATAATTTCAGGCTTATCACTCTTAGGCTTCCTTTAAAAGAAAACTATAAGAACATTAGAAAAGATGATTAAAAAAAAAAAAAAAAAACTTATAAAATTATCCTTGTTCATCACATTCGATGGAACATGAAAGAAATATGGCTGCTCTTGAGTTTGCTGAATCTTCTCATCAGTAGTAGAGGTTGACAGGTGTCCTGCGCCTTCTCTGTGTGTCATGCTTGTCCAGTAACTTTTAAACTTCTTGTTCCACTCATACACATTTCTACATTGTATTTCACAAATTGTATTTCACTGTTGTTGTATTGTGTTAAAAGACCCTGATGAATTTAAGCCCCCAACATACCTTCTGACCAGCGAAATTAGATGACTGCTCTTTGTTCCTCCTCCTAGCACACAACTAGTGGAGCAACCATGTTTACACTGAAGAAAACTAGCAGAATCAAGCTCAAATTTTGATCATGTGACCACAATAGTACCAACTATAAGCATGCATGAGCAAAAGGCAATATGACAAACCTTAACATATGATAAAAATGCGGATAATTTTTTTTTTTTTTTTTTTACACTTACCTTCATATATATGATAACAACAAGGTAGAGGAGTTATGTTTTTGGCAGAGATTATGGCAATGAGTTGGTTGGCTTATCTTTGCTCTTTACTTTTCCTTTTTTTTTTCATCTTCTCTATTACCTTTTCTACTTATTGCTTTTTCCTTTCTCTTTCCATCTCACTTCTTGTTACCTCTCCCTCTCTCTTTTTTTTTTCTTTGTTTTTCCTCTTTTCATAGTCCCTCTATTCTTATTGCTTTTCCCTTCTTTCTTATTCTTCTTCCCTCAGCTCTTTTCCCTTTTTCTTTGGCCATTGCCTTTTCTTTGCATTTCTTTCTCCCTGCTTCTCTTTTACTTTCAACTTGTTGCTTCCATTCTTATTTCTTCTTTTCTATTTCTACTTCTCCTATTTCTTTTCTCTTAATTGCCCCCATCATCTTTCATTGTCTTTTTTTTTTCTTGCCTCTTCCTTTTTTCTTCTTTTCCCTGCTACTCTTATGTCTTCTTCTTATTGTTAGGATGAACATTATAACAAAGGAACTAACTCGCTCTCTAAATAGAAATCAAGTTATGCTCCTTGATTGGAACTCTCTAGGACTACAAAGTAAAGGGATTTCAAGGTGGTGGTCACACATCATCACATGTCATATATCAAACTATCAATCTACTAGTAATCACTGGTCATGTTTTACATTTATAGCTATCCAATAGTAAATAAAATGTATAAAGGTTTGAAGTGTGTGTTTGTTCTTATTTGACACAAATAATCATACACCTAGCAACACAACACTTATTTTTATTCCTTTCTCCTCTTTTTTGCTTAATTTTTTCTTTTCTTCTCTCTTTTTCTCTCTGACAGGTCTCCAGTTGATCTTGTTGTTCATTCAAATAAACATAGAAAGGAAAAGAATATGCTTTCACTTGTTAAATAAATAAAAATATGTGATGGCCACGAAGCAACCTAGTCCATATCAACTGACAAACCATTTGTCAGCATAACTTACTTTGATATTTATTTTACTGCTTGTAGCCAAAGCTTCTTTGACCAGAGGAACCAAATCTGGGTTGGTGAATATTGCAGAAGATTTAGAGTCCAACAGTTGACGGCAAAGCTCAACTGGAATAAAGAAAAAAAAATAGCAAGTTTCAAAACAAATATTTTGATATAAATTTCAATGACAACACTGAGTAACAGACCCAGACAAACAATACTTCTATAGAAATTAATGCAACAACAAATACATGTATAGACAGAAAATATTCTATTTAGTTTGAGTCATAAATAATTTCAGATTTGGATTATCAAATTAATTCTTCAAAAAATAAAGTACATTTACATTTTATTCAATTCTAAAAAAATAATTTTGCTAACATGTGCCATTCAACATTTTTTTAGCAAATATTTTTTCTAAAATAGACAAACTTTGTAACTTTTTGAACAAAATTCTGCAGGTTTTGATGTGAAAAAGTTTTTAATGAACTCTTGAATCAGTTTTTCAACAGAGAAAGTTTGAAAAAAGGAATAAGATATTGTATTTTGGGTCATAAAATTCACAACAGCATGAGTAAGCAATGAGCAAGTCTCAAAAAATACATATGGTAACAAAAAGAACACTTATGCTCAGAATCAGGAAGAGACAGCTGAAATTACTTCAACGCATAACGTGGAGGGGGGGCTAACCCTCACAGGGTATACTGAGGGCAAGAAAGATAGGGGAGGTAGCGAGCCACCTACTTAACAGGTTTGTGTGAATGAATGGCAGAACAAGGGCAGGAGCTTAGCAAAAGTAGAAATACTGCTAAGGGTCACAAGGTATAGGAAGTTATGGAGAGCCATAATCATTCATGTCCTGAAGGGATGTAGCACATAGAATGAGAATAATGCAGTCACATAATTTAGATCCATGATTTGACAAGCAATATTTACAATATATACACTATTTACATTATTCAGACTATTGTCCTCATCTTTGTCGCCATATTTATTACAACGTTTTGGCTGTTGTACAATAGTCTGAATAATGTAAATAGTGTACATAATACCTCATCTCAGAAATATAGACAGATTACTATTTTTGACGTCATATAAAATCCACTTTTTTGATGTCATATAAGACCCAATTATATGACCAACATTTTTCACACCCAAATATTAGAATTTCATGAATTTGTAATGAATGCAAAAGAAAAAGAGAAAAAAATGGACCAAAGATGGATTAAATTTTGATAACATTTTATGTACTATTCAACATTTTTTTTAACAAATATTCTTTTTAAAATAGGAAAACTTTCATATACCAACAAATGCTCAAATCTTTCTTTAAATTTCTACCCTACCATCTCAAAAAGTTCTGAAAATATTTTATATTTGATGTCATTCAAGATCATTGAGTCCACAACCTTTCACTGCATTTAATTGTAAACTCCAATCCTTTTAATGCTTGTATAGAATGTTCCTCACCAGAGCTACATACAGATTTTGATTTCAGAGTTTTTCCTTCTCTTGGACTGGTTGCAAAGTCTGCCATAGATAATGGGAGAAGGTTTCATACTTTTCCAAATTGTATTTGTACTGTGAAAGGGAATTTCACAAACTCAACCAGAATTTGAACATAGCACACCGATTTCTCTTTCCAAGCTCTTAACCATTGCATTAATGACACATCCATTTTAGTAATAGCTTATAAGATGTAGAGATTAGAGTTTAACCAAATTTTTTGTCCTCTGCTGATTCTATGGCTAGTTCTTAATTTATTAGTGATTTTTTTGTTTTTAATATTGTGCATACAATTGATAGGCTTGTCTTCTATTGGCTCAAAAGAGTGAGAATCCAAAACTGGTCAGCCACTTTGATTATTATTTTCTTGTTTACTATTATCATTTCAATTCACCTCTTTATGTTGATTTATTTTATTATCCTGGGTTTTCTTATACCTCCTTGTCATTTATTGCTGTATATACAATCTCAATATGTCCGTTTTTATTGTATCAATTTAACCAAATTTTTTTTTTAGATTTTTCTATTTTGACAGTAAATCAAATAGCGAGTCAAGACAACTTTTTTTTAACTGAAGAATAAAATAGTTTTACAGTAAGTGTTTTATCATTTGAATAGTAATAACATGTTTATGTTTTTGACAAATAGACATAATATTTCGTACACATGAACAGAATGGAAAAATGACATTCCTTTCAAATGATTCAGTTTCATGACAGTTGAATACAACTGTTTTTTCTTTAATCATTTCACCCCAAGCAAGTCGGGAATTCCACCAGAATACTGGGGATTACAGATAGTGAAAGTAGGAGAAAAGACTGAGTATGGGGGGGGGACTGAGGAAAGGATAAAAGATGAATGGGACTCAAGAAGATTGATTCAATGTAGTCTTTCCACTTGAAGTCATTTGAAAATGTACGCCCAAGGAGAAGTGTGTTGTTCTCTAGGAGTTTAGCATCAGCCATGCTGATAGCAGGCAGGAAAGTTTCTCTGTGGTGCTTAAATGAGTTCATTCATTCAGATGATAACAAATAAACAAAACAACCAACACCAAAATTGTTACAAATTAATTTCCTTTAGATTTTAAAGATTAAGAAATAAAAAAAATCAACAAAGAAAAAAGATTTTTGAGCAAAAGTCAAATCTTTAAGAGGAATATAAATATCTCAGAATACAAAGGATTTATTATAAGGATTCTATTTTTGTTTTATTGAATTGTAGTAAAAATAAAATCATTTCTAGTCCAATTAACAACTTAAGAGTGTCAAGTCAACAATTCTGTTGAACATATCTTACTTTTGTCATAAAAGGTGAAAAGAAGATCGTATTGATGTGATACCCACATAGAGTGTGATTTTATCTTGACCTGAACTTGGTTGGTTGGTTAGTTTTGTTTAGTGACATTAACTTCTATGGATTATTTAATGCTGAAATCTAAGTATTTCATACACAAATTATTTTATTTTTGAAGATAACATTTTAGTGATAATAGTCTTGCTAATTAACACATAGCTGAGGGGAGAAGAGATGGATTCATACCTTTCCCAAGGTTATTTGCACATACGTGTATATAACAAACTTGAATGGAATTGGAACTTGGCTCTCCATTTAACAATTCCAAATAATTATCCATTAGACCACACTCACATCCAAGCTTACAGCACATGGTATTCCTAAGCAGTCACCCATCTGGGTACTGCATAAGCTCAACATTGCTCAACTTCAATGATCATACAGGAACCAGTATTTCAATGTGATGCATCTGCAAGCCTCAAACTTGTTCTCGTTTTATGGTCTGAGAATGATTTTTTTAAATTTTGTAAGTGGCATCCACTTTGATCAGAGGGGAATGGATGCGTGAATAGGGTCTTTTGGAAACCAAGCGACAACAAAACCAGACATAGAATGTATCCAGTTGCTGGTTTATATTAACAGTCATGTTTGGGATCTAGGTTGTCAGTTCTGGTCAGTTTGGTTCTGATGCCATCCATTCATATTGCCAGCCACTTACCGGGATGTGTAGATTGGCAAGGAGTTGGTAGGGGAGGGCAGCTGATGTATAAAATCAGCTTACGGAAGTTGTCCAGTAGCACATACCTACCTAGACTGAGGTAAATAGGCAAAGCCCTGAATAGCACATCTACATATAAAATGGGAAACAGGGTTCACATTGTTATTTCTCAATGTGGCATCTATCTTTCATTTTGTTACCTTGTGAGCATGCTGCAGGCCCTTTCCCAGTTTTTGTTGTACAGTGAGCAAATCAAAAACTGAAATGCAACATATTGTACTCATTGGTTGATTGGTGAAAAACTTGGCAAGGGTTGTGTTATATATTTACAATCAACATCAAAAGACAAAAAATAAAATGAAAAGATTAACTGCTTCTTTTATATGCAATTTCCCTTCAGATTGTGGTTGATCATGACTCTCCACAACTTCCTATCCTTTGTAGTAATGTCTGCCTATTTACTATTTCTCCCACCCTCTGTTCTGCTATTTAATTACTCAAGTTTGTTAGATTACTCCCTGTTTTCCTCTGCCCCTCTTGCCACTTATATATCACGTGAGTGTTAAATTCTCCAAGCCTCCTTTCCTCATTATTCATCTGAGAAATTTTAATTGTCTCTTTCTGATTTTAAGTATAGGTGTTGTTTTTGTCTCCATTTTCCTTAAAACTTCCTTGTTGGTCTTATGTTCCATTCATGAATTTCTCAATGTCCTTCTGTGGATCCACTTATAGGGATGTTGAGAATACCATGGATGGAACATATGAGCAACAAAATGTGATGCTAAACAGGTGCTACCACAACAAGTCATAGTGGACCTGGGAATAACAGCAATTAAGAGGTGCTTCTACACTCCTCAAAACTTCCAATCTCCTGATCTTAAGCCTTGCTGCCAGGTGTAGTTTATTGATATGACAGTGAATGTTGGATAATTTTCCTAAGGATGAGGAAAACACTATAAACAACAGAAATGTGAGTAAGCAACAAGGAAGTTTTTTTAAGAAAATGGCAGCAGAACACTTCTACTCAAAAATCAAGAAAAGATAGTTGAAACTCCTTGGACACATAATAAAGAAGAGATGCTTGGAAAAACAACCCTCACAAGGCATACTGAGGGTAAGAGAGATAAGGGAAGGTAGTAAGCCACTTACCTGATAAAATTTTGTGAATGGATGGTGGAATGGGATGGGGGAGGCTTAGCAAAAGAAGAAAAACTGCTAAGAGCCACACAAGATAGAAAGTTGTGGAGAGCCATGATCGCTTATATCCTGAAGGGAAGTGGCACATAGAAGAAGTAGAATCTTATCAACCAAAAGTCAAGATATTCTAGATGTAGTGAGCTGGCTGAGAATATTGGATTGTTATGTTAAAAATCTGTTCATTCTGCCACCAACAGTTGATCAGCAGATGTTGTTCATGCTCCAGTTTATGACCCTGACTAAAATAAACCACCCAGTAATCTGGCACAGCTTTTGCGCTTCTCCAACTAATCTTTCTAATCAAGCTGTTTTCTTTTTAAGACAAGAATACAGATATGATAAAAATAGTCGATTTCAATTTAAAGATATACACACACACACATTTTAACCTTTGTTTATCTTGTAGTGATGT